GGGGACACGAGGGCTGGAAGGGTCTCGTCTAGGCATGTTGCCTGGGCGAGAACTCCGATGGAGCTGATGTTCCACCAACACCCGGTCGAGTTTGCTCATCCGGTGCGGGGAATTTTGGCGAAGTTGGGGGCTCGACCGGCTCAAAGTCCACTCACCGCACCTCCACGTGGGGTCCCCGGGTCTCCGCCTCAGTAGCTGGAACCGCTTTGCGGGCACCTGATTGCTGAGCGCGGAGGGCGAACGCTGTGTGCTGGCGCACGATGGGGAGGGCTCCATCCATCCACTCAACCAATATGATGGACAACAGCAAAAAGAAGAAGGACATTACTGCCCCAGGGGTGCTCGGAGCCCCAGGGGCCGGCGCGGGTGCGGTTGTTGCGCGGGCCGCACCCGTGTCGTCATCTGACGACCGCGAGGACCGGTTGGTGAGCTCCCAGGCCACCGGATCCCTACTTGCTACTGGGGGTGGGATGATGAGGAGGAACATAACGATGACTATGGAAAGCACAATGACAGAGAATATGGTTACTGCTCCAGAGGATCTCGTTGCCCCAGGAGCCGACGCAGGTGTGGTGGTACAGCAGGCCACACCTGTGTCGTTATCTGACGACTGCGGGGCCCGCTTGGTAGACCACCAGGCCATCGGTGCCTTAATGGTTACTGGCGAAAGAGGGGGTAGTAATACCCCCTCAGAGGCGGTGCCCGGCCCGTCGGGACGGACACGCCTGATGACGGGAGGCGCCCTGATGGTGCGTCTCCGGCGCCTCCCCGGCAGCCTGGTCAGGAGCTCCAGCTCCAGGAGTGTCGACCGAGCTGTCCAAATTAGCGACGACGAGGACGTAGACTCTGAGGAGTCTACGATGTCCGCCTCGTCGGTGCGGTCGGGGGGGGGTGGGGTTGGCTCCAGCGCTTCCGGCGGCCGGAAGAGGGGGCGGCCCCCGGCGACGAGGGAGCGCTTTGGTCTCGCGGAGGCCAAGCGTAAGCTAATCAAGCTTACGCTGAAGGAGCAGGGCCTCCGCGAGGAGGACTTGGAGGACCGGGCAGTGCCGCCGCTCCCGGTCCACAAGTCCTGTAAGAGGTTGCCGCCGGCGGACGCCGTGGCTGAGGAGATGCGGCGGGGCCCTACGCCGGATCTGGGTGCGGTCATCAACGACCGCATCCAGGTTATAGAGAAGGTGGCGAGGTGCAGCGCAAACCTCAAAGGGACGAATGTCCGGGCCCTCCGGGAGGCCGCCCTGCAGATCCGCTATGCGGCTGCAGAGCAGGCGAAACGGACGGTGCTCTCTGAGCGAGAGATCGAGCTGGAGCGGGAGGTGCGTGACCTCCGCGCCCGGCTCGTCGCTGGGGAGGCGCTGTCCGCCCGGAGGGAGGCCCGGCTACCCCCACTTTATGTCCACCGTGCTTGCACACACATGCATATCCCAGCCCTGTCCGTGTGCGCTGGCCGTTCGAGAGACGGTGAGCTATATTTAGAAAAGAGTGGGGATAAACCGTACCACGATTCCGACATCCTGCTGCCTTGGAAATCCTGTTTGAATACCACTGCGGCGAAAATTCACGTTCTCGTCGCGATGGCCCGCAACCTAAGCGCAGAGTCAAGAGACCCTGTTCGAATCCCAATGTGGCGCTTTTACATTTTGTTTTTAATTATTTTATAAGTTCACTTTGTAACCTCTAAGTAAAATAAAAAAGTTAAAAAGTATGAATTCGGGAAGCATTTGAAAAGAAGAAAATAAATGTTTTCCACTTCAATATCTAAATTTTTTATTATATACATACATATTATGCTGTTGTTACGAGCCCGGGCCGTAGCAACACGAAAGGCCGACGACTTTAGGTTTGCCGAGGAATATGGTATCAGTTTATTAGTAAGGTGCGCGGATGAATCTGACGCGAAGCCAGAGAGCCGCTAGGATGTTTGAAAACGAGGACGAACCTGACGCGAAATCAGGGAGCCTCTAGGAATGGAATCACTAGCGGACGAACCTGATGCAAAACAGGAAGCCGTAGGAAGGTGAAATTCGTGAACGAACTCGATGCGAAATCGGGGAGTCACTAGGATGTGATTTTGCAGACGAACTCAGCGCGTAACGGAGGAGCTGCGGGGAGGGTGGAAAATCTGTACAGACGAACCTGACGCGAATTCAGGGAGCTGTTAGGATACGGACGAACCTGATGCGAAATCAGGGAGCCACAGGATTGGCCAAGTTTCGTGGACGAATCCGATGCGAAATCGGAGAGCCACTGGGTTGGAAAGACTCTCAGAAAAGTGTAATGCACGAACGAACCTGATGCGAAATCAGGGAGCCGTTAGGAAATGTTAGTGCCTCGTAACCTTTGAATTTATAATTAATACAACTCGAACGGTAAAGTTGTATTAGTGTGGGAACGGTCGACCTGATATTATTCTAAACTAGAGAAAACTAGTATATCGATAATACTACAAATTTCTGGATCGTGTTATCGATTCAAAATGAACTACACAGATTTATAAAATAACAGTATAATTAATCTAACCGAATAATAACTATTACCGAATAATACTTTATTTAATTGTGGTTAAAATACAAAATTGCAATTACACAATATTACATAAATGAATAATTACGTATACAATCAAATGTAAGATGCTTATAATCACATTTCACAAGATATCATTAGCAGCAAAGTAAATTTTGTTTCAAGGAATAAATGGAACATCCAATACTATATCAGCATAGTAAAACAATACACGAATGGAACCAGGTTCAATACTTAAAAGTAGTTTTTCATTATCTAATGCTTGCAAGTTAGAATAGTGCAACAATATTAAGAATCTTTGGAAATGATGAGGTATAAATAAAATAAACAATTATTTTTATTTCAACAAAAAAGCAAAAGCGTGACCAATTATCCCACCTTTCCCGTAAGGGGACATGCTCAGTCAGAAATTTTCAAAAAATCGATTTTTCACTTTCTACATTTTCTTTAAGTACAACATCTCGAGAATATTCTGTGCAAGTTTCAAGGTAATCTAATTAAAAATGACAGAGTTACAGGCGTTAAAAAATGAAGATTTCATATAAGTGTAAGCTTGACCTGAAACTTTAAACGTGGTTTTCTCCAAACTATATTTTTCAAATCGGAGATCAATATTCCTCGAAAACTACTGTGTCGATTTACATGAAGCCTTTTGCGCCTTATTTCAAATCAGAAAAGCTTGTCCTTGAACAGAAGATTCTTTCCTTCGTTCCATATATTTTTTTTAATTGACCAAAAATGAGTGATTTTTTATGTAAAAATCGCACTTTTTCAGGAAAACATCCGCTATTTTGTTCCTAATTAATATTTCGAAAAAACCCATGTTCAAGGACAAGATTGGTTCTTCCATTACATAAATCTTACTGAATTTTTAATTTCAGATGAACCGTTACGAATTTACAGTGATCACGGCAGACCACTTTTTGTGAAGAGACATCCGGGAGATCGCTCACCATTTATTTACTAATAAATATTTTTAAATAAAAAAATTACCTTATAATCTAGAAACTGCATTCTTTGCAACATAAACACATTTTTTCAAAAAGGTCTTATAGTTGTCGAGAAAAAAATTCCTAAAGAACACTCTTTTTTCGGCCTCCTGACTGAGCATGACCCTTTAATGTCGCGATACGAATTGTATGTTATTAAATATAGTCTGATTTATGTGGGGTTTGGACTTATTTTCATCAGGAGAGTCTTCTACATTTATTCATAACATTTTTAAGAAAGTACACTGAAAGAAATGAAAGTTTAAATTTTTATTCATGGGTGATTCGTTCTGTGTATTATATTGTAAACCGAACGATACCATCGCCTCGCGCCGGGGCCCCGTGATGTCATCTGACTTGGTCGGTTTAAATCCTACTTGGTGTCTCATCCATTCTTTGTTGTTAGTTTGTTTCTGACTGACTCCCTTCTACTCAAAAGTGAGGAAGCGAAATTATAGAATAATTCAACAAAAAAAAGATAAGTTCATAACAACATTAATATTTTATCTTATGTTATTAAAATTACTATTTCAATTATGTGTTTTTTTTCTTTTCATATGTAGAAAAGCAAAAGACAATTCGGTATCGTATATGCGTGGACCAGCTGCAATGGTGTTCGTTAGCGGCGAAATATATCATTAACAAAAAAAAAATGATTTTAAAAATGCTTCCCGAATTAATATTTTTTCATTCAAACTTAACTGAGAGGTGGCAAGTAAAGCCAACAAATTTTAAAAGACTAAAGATACATTTATGACGTAATATTTTAATCTAATAGATTTTTGTACGAATGTTCGGAGTAGTAATGAGTAGGGTTTTAAGGATAACATATAACTGTAAAAATAATTTATGTGTATACAACATAATATGTATGTATATAATAAAAAATTTAGATATTGAAGTGGAAAACATTTATTTGCTTCTTTTTAAATGCTTCCCGAATTAATATTTTTTAACTTTTTTATTTTACTTAGAAGTTACAAAGTGAAATTATAAAATAATTAAAAATAAAAAGTAAAACCGCCGCATTGGGATTCGAGTAGGGTCTCTTGACTGCTCACGCGCTTAGGTTGCGGGGCATTGCGTTGAGAATGTGAATTTTCGCCGCAATGAGACGATGGCACGTCGGAGTGGGAAAGTGGTGGGGGTAAACAGTACACGATTCTGGCAGCACTGGCTGTGGCTATATGCTATATGTGGCGCTCGCGCACATGTTGTTATTGTTCTAATATGTTATGATTAAATAGATACACATTTGTATTATTTTCATTATTTTTAAACAAAATGAAGGTGAAAGTTTTATCAAGGAATCCAGATGAATACTTACGAGAAACGAAACGCGATATTTGTAAAGGTTAGTAATATCTAAATGTAGATAACCTTTAAAACTTTATGTTATTTATAATAATACTTTTATAATAATAACATCTGGATGAATTTTATAATATAACCATGTAAAAATATGAACTACATAAATTTAAATAGTACATAATGTTACTAATATATTAACAACTGTGGATAATATATCCAGTTCCTAGGAACTATGATCCAGCATTACATCCTTTTGAAGCAGCAAGAGAATATACTAGGGCACTGAATGCAGTAAAATTGGAAAGAGTATTTGCTAAACCTTTCATAGGAAATTTGGAAGGTCATAAGGATGGAGTATCATGCTTTTGTAAACATCCAACAGAATTGTCCACACTTGCTAGTGGAGCTTTCGATGGTGAAGTAAAAGTATGGAATCTTGCCCAAAAAACTTGTGAACGTACATTTTTGGCACATGATGGTATAATACGTGGGATTGTGTTTGATGTAAATGTTGAACATTTTATAACTGTTGGTGATGACAAAACTATTAAAGTATGGAAAGCAGAAAAACCGTCATTTGGTACAGAAGAAGAACCAATAAATACAATTATTAGCAAAGTAAGATTAAAACAAAATAAAAACAATAACATATGTGAGATGTAAAACCTGTAATTATAAATGGTTTATAGACTATAATTACTGGAATTTCTCATCATCGAAGAAAGCCTATATTTGCAACATGTGGTGAAGTATGTCATCTGTGGGAAGAAACCAGAAATGAACCAATTCGAACATTTAAATGGGGTGTCGATAGCTTATATGACATTAAATACAATCCAGTTCAGTCTAATTTACTTGGTAAAATTTAATGAATGTTATGTGTAATAATAAAAGGAATTTATTCAGCAATAAATATAAAAAAATTTTACAGCTGCTTGTGCAAGTGATCGTAGTATTATCTTGTATGATGCTAGAGAAACAGGTCCGCTACGGAAAGTGTTCATGAGGTTAAAGACCAATAAATTGTCTTGGAATCCAATGGAAGCTGTAACTTTTACATGTGCTAATGAAGATTACAAGTATGTTTTGAAACATAGTAAATTGTTTAATACACCAATATATACAATGATATACTAAGATTACTCTTTTAGTTTATACACTTTTGACATTCGTAAACTAAAAACTCCAGTAAATGTACATAAGGATCATGTGGAAGCTGTAGTTGATGTGGATTATGCACCAACTGGTAAAGAATTTGTGACTGGCAGTTACGATAAATCTATACGTGTTTTTGAAGTTAACAAGGGTCATTCCCGAGAAGTGTATCATACAAAACGCATGCAACGACTAGTGTGTGTAGCATGGTCCCTGGACAATAAGTATCTTCTCAGCGGTAGCGATGAGATGAATATTAGAATTTGGAAAGCTAGGGCCTCTGAGAAGTTGGGTGTGGTATGTAGTTCGAATAGTTAATTATGTTTCATTTATGATAAAATAACTAAAGAAGTATGTTATTTTAGTTGAAACCTAGAGAGAAGGCAGCTCTCAATTACAGTGAGGCACTGAAAGAAAAGTTTGCTGCGCATCCTCAAGTTAAACGAATTGCTCGACATAGACAAGTTCCAAAACACATTTATAAGGCTAAAAACGAGTTACGTACAATTCGTGAGAAAAGTAAACGAAAGTATGTATCAGTTCTTGAGAGGAGTAATAATGTAAAATATCGTTATTATTAGTTTGGCTATTTTACTATATTTAATCGTTTGTTCATAGGGAAGCTAATAGACGCGCTCATTCTAAACCAGGAGCAGTACCATTTGTTTCAGAGAGAGAAAGGCATGTGGTTCGACAAAACATTTAAAAAAGAATTATTGGTTACAGTACTATATATTTTTTTTACACATGTAATAAAAATAATGAAAAAATCTCATTGTTCTTCAAATTCATACAGTTGTGCAAATAATTTAATAAAATTGGACTTCATCATTGTAATGCAAATGTTAATTAAACACAATGCATAAATACTGAATTAAAAGCATTTTAAGTGAAGGTAAATGATAAGGTATTGACCTCGATTGAAAGTTTATTAACATTAGAGAATCAACTCCACTTGATAGAGCTATAATTGAAGTACATTCAAATGGCAAAACAGTGATAGTTAAAATACAAGCTATCGCATGTATTTTCCGCTATTTATTGCAGAGTAGAGTAACACAGACACCTAAGATAGACTTCTGTTCATGTATTTAGAACTTTATTGTTATGATAATCTAATGTGGCAGTATTTATCTAATTGAATACTAACATCTGTGACTATGCGGCAAATTCCTTACAATCAGCAAGTAACCAATGCTTCAAACAAGTAGTGCCATGGTTGTGAACCGTTTTTCTATTGCTGTTTCCCCAAACATCCCCTCCCAGAAAGATTTATTTTGAAAAAAAATACTATTTTTTGGAAATTTTAATTTTCTACCAAGTAGGTTATAATTTTTGCGCTAGAAAAATAAATTTTAGATCTTACAAAAATGTATATAGAAAAGTCGATACTTAATAGTAAAAATACAAAAAAACTACGTGCGAAGCATTTTGATGATAAAAGTTTATCTTTACAGTTCTTTTTCCATAATTTCAGAATATTCTTTTTAGGATAGGCCTATGTACCATCTTATGGGACTTCGTGTCTCATGTTCTGAAATACCGATAGTGTAAAAAGTCAGGGATATTCTGCTGCCCTCTACGTTATGAGAACGGTGAATTTGTGAACTATGTTCAATCCATTCGAGCTCAACTAGTCTAATTTCTACAGTGTTGTCGAGTTTAAAGTACGCAATGTTGTCAAATCATGAGTGTTCGGGATCTCGGAAAATCATCGAAGGGACCATGGTCGTGAACGGATTCTCTTCCGTCCGTTTGCTGTAAAGTAGACGTATTATGTAGAAGGGAGTCTTGGGTTCCTGTCCCGACGGACCTATTGTTTTTTTTTCGCGTACGAAAAAGTTATCGCGTTTAATATTGTTTTTATGAATATGTATATGTATTATTATGTACATTCGAGTAAATTATTTTATTATTCCATTGTTATTACAACAGTTTAACAGTGACAACGAACGCATGTATATTTTCAAATATCGGACTAACAGTATATTTTTATTCTATATTATTACATATAAGTGAGTAATACGTATCAAAAACCGTAATCGAAACACAGATCTTTATTACATCGCAAACATCGCATAAAAGATATTTCGTTATATTGACATTTGTAATAATTATGGATGTTGCGGGGAAATCAATATTATTGACATTATGGAACATATAACGAAATATCACTGTAACACTTAAAAAAGTTTAAAGTACCATTTATATCATTGTCCTGTGAAAATGTTCATACTTCCAGCAGCATTCATATTCCAATCAAAGAATTTACAGAATAAGGAAAAGGAATCTAAAGTTATTTTCAGAAGTTCCATACATCTTTATCTCGAATAATTTTCTAAAACATTCAAAGTAGTAGACATTTTTACACTTTTAAATCTCATATCGATTTCTAAAATAATCGATTCGATTATTAGATAATTAATAGATTCGAAGTTCGCAGCCATTAGCTCGATATTACCGATGAAAATACCAATTGCCCAGGCCTCACCACGAGGAGGTTGCTGCGAGTGGAGGCCCAAGGCAGGTAGATGGAATCACAAGTTCTACATCTACCCACCTTTCACAATAAATCTTATAAATAACTTGAATCTTAACTATGTAATACTATCGGTACTAAAATCCCTCAGCGGATGACTTCTTGCTTGAGCCTAAACCTATAAAAAACTAAGTTCCCTCGTCGGTTGTCTTCGTTGTTCAGCTTAGAACTAATATTATCTTAATATTCTAATATTGACTCTAGTATTGACTATAGCCTTAATACACTAATGCTATTAATACGAAATAACTTAAACTAAACGCAACGTAGTCGCTAATACTCAAACGAAAGAGAGACGGAATGAAAAAAGTTCCATCGATCATTTCGTTTACGCACCTAATATTCTATATACCAAGCAGTTATTAAGTCTACGATGAACTACGTTAAACTACAGTATGAACAAGATCGCGATGCAAGTGTTGTCGCCAGAGCCTGGTTATAAAAAAATGGGAAAGAAAGACGACACCTCGCGAACCCGGATCCATCTTTTACTGCCATGAAGCTTTGGGCTGGTCACCTGCGTACCAGACCCGAACCAAAGGAGTACACAAGTATGGTAGTGCAAGCGAGATTCTCTGTTTACGGAGCAGGCTCCTGCCTACTCCGCACCCTTGTACGCACGAATCTTTCTCCAAATCCTATTTGCCAGACAAAGACTAAACACGTCCGAATATCTGGCTTCTCAATGGAAACCAGAGGGGTCGGCAAACAGTCTTAGGGTACAGACCCACTGCCTGTACCCCAAATCTGTGTAGAGAATCAACGAGCAAAATGAATTAATAATAACTTGGTATGCACAATGGATGGTCACAGTTTAAGTCTATTATAAGATAAACTAAAATTAATAATAATTATCATTACGATGTGATGATGAACTTACAGTAACTTAACGGCGTGGTAGACGCTTTGAGGATGTAGATGTTGATCGATGTCTTCTTTCGATGGAATAACTGATTGGAAAAATATTTTTTATTATACAATACACATACATAATATGCACAGTAAATAAATCACAGTAAATGAATCACAGTACATAAGAAGATTAATATCGAAGCCAATGGTTCTCAAACATCTGTAACATACAAGGAATTAGTAACAAGAGAGGGGACACAACAATATGCACAGTAAATAGATTAATAATATGCACAGTAAATAAATTAATAATACGCACAGTAAATATATTAACAATATGCACAGTAAATAACAGGTTCCTTTATACGGTGATTGTCGAATGCCTGCAACACACAATGGGTTAGTCACAAGAGAAAGGACGAGTATGAGACGCGCGCCTACCCTCCGCGACGGCTCACGAGAGAGTGAGGAAGCTAACGCCTTTATGTATTTTGCGTACGTAGGTTATTACGCATCAGCTAGTTTCTTTGTTACGTTTGTTCGAGTTGAATTGTTTTTGCCAGCTTGAACGATCTTCCTCCTTGAACGACCCAAACACCGAATGGTACAGCCAGGTACGGCCATGGTACACGGCGTACACGGCTAGTTCAATAAACTGTGTGACGCAACGTCACTAGCGCGTTGGACCGACGGAGAGCACCGATATCGCGGCACGCTCTACCGTACTCTCTCGCTCGCACAACTCCCCCCATAGACCACCGAAATTCCTCGGCCCGCGTCAACACCGACGGAGAGCACCGATACCGCGGCTCGCTCTCTTCCGTTTGCCCGCTCCGACCATCTTCGGCATCGTTCGGTATGCGTCGACACCGACGAAGAGCACGGATACCGCGGCTCGCTCTACCACTCCCGTTTGTTTATAATGTTTATATTCCCCAAATAAATATCATTTTTAGCTCTCCAGTATAAATTCCTAAGACCGTTATTTATTATTAATTTCATATCGTTAAATACGGTTTTTTCTCACAGGATACCGATTTCTATTACAGTAACACAAAATAATTGCAAATATGAAACTTCTTTACCTCTTCTTGAACATTTTAATTTCATAGCCCTAAACTGGGTACCTGAAAGTATTTCATTGAATTTCTGTAAAAGATTTTACTACTTCCTAAAAGACTCCGTGTGATATTTGATAGCTTAAAAAACAATGTGCCGATACAGGGTTTCGATTTATTTACGAAACTAATCTGATCAGTTGTTGCATTCTTTGACACTAATTTTCAAGAAAATAAAACTTCTGTATTTCACTTAATTTGAGAGACACGTAGCTGAATAGTAACATTCGTTCATTAAACGTGTCGTTTAATCATTAACATTCAAATAACGTGTAAGTAAATTCATATGTAAAAATTTACCAATTGCCAGAAAGTAATTGTTCGCGCGTGTTAAGATTCTTACAATAGGCAGTAAAACTATTCACACTCCCATATAAATTATAAATATGTAACCGTTAATAAAAGCGGTGTATATATTCTCCGACATGTAGATTTCATAAACTATTTATGAAACTACATCTATTCTGAATTTATCTGTTACAAATATACAAAGTAAGGCAAGATATAAAAACGAATAAAACAAGAACATGTAAAAAGTAACGTTAATAAAATGTCCATTAACGATGCATTTAGAATAAATTGTCTTGTAGTTAAGTGAAAAAATATATACTTTTCCGTTTCATGTTTCATTACTATCATACTTATCCCTTAACCTTAAACTAAAGCATCGGATATTTTTATTCCCGTCAAATCATATAGGTACACGCAATATGAATGGAATATATAACACTTCATTTGTGCTAATAAACTCAGAATTCATGCTTTATCGGTAACGTCGGGTATTGACACTAAAATGATAGGGGGCTTCTCACGCCCTCGAAACATGGGACAGAAAATTACATTGCATGTTAGGTCTATTCTTATATCTCGTCTGTGGTATTACACGCTCGTCTGAATGTAAAAGTTCCGTGCAGATTTTGTCACAGGGGGCCAGCGATATCCGACAGTCCCTTTTCACTCGCCGCGAGCCGTGAGGTGTCGCCGCGTATATACCCGCTCGTGTGTATGTCCTGATACGTTTCTGTGTACTTCTGAAACGCGCGACAAAACTCGCTCGTCTGCATCGAGCCTCAGATGTTTGAAGCAACTGAGAATCGAGATCTGATGTGATGTTCCATTTATTCCTTGAAACTACATGCATAGGTACGTTATGTCACGATACGAATTGTATGTTATTAAATATAGTCTGATTTATAT